TTTCCAAAAATGCTAATAACACAGTTACTGTTTTATCTAAAACAGTTTTAAACCTCTAGCCATCAACACTTCGTCTAAACTGTTACAAACAGTTTTTACCAGACTCTTTTCAAATCACTAATTCCCAAACCCAGTAGTTTATAAAGCCACAAATATAAAGGTTTTAGTTTATCAAAACTCACCTTAACAAGCACAGATTCTGTAGATTTTAAACACACAGCAGATCTTCAAATATTACAGAATCTTCAAATCACTTTTTGTGCAGTAATCTTTCTCAAGAACACTTCCACCGACACACACACTTTCTTTCTCTCAAAAGGTTCCTTTCTCCAAGTAAAGATGAGATAGGATCTTATCTTTTCCTTCTTTATATATATACTTCTAACAAAGGCGGTGATGGTTTTATTAAAATTAAACTCTTTGGGCGATGGAAAATATATTATAAAATTTCCTTTCTTAACTACAAAGATATCTTTTAAAATAATAAACTTCACACAAGACCATTTACTCGCACATGCACTTTCACATATTTCCATGTATGCATATTATCATATTAACGTATACATATTGTTTTCTCATAGTTATGCACAATATTATTTTCACATGCAACCCTGATTTATGCATTTCTAAATTAAACATGCATACTTCACGTAATTCACATATTAATCATGTATAAGTTATCTCAACCTAGGTTGTCTAAAACCCGGTTATAACAGCTCGCACGACGGGCTATTAGCTAACCAAAATACCCAACAAGCATTAGCTCTTCCTGAAAAGGAGGTGATCCAGCCGCATCTCCAAGTTTTTGGAATGTTCCAAATTCGTGTTTAAAAGTCAAGATTGAGGGCGGGTGTTAAAATATATCAAATGCTTCCAATCTTGACTGTCTTAACTAAGTTTCTTAACGATTATCCTTATTTTGTCAGGTTATTAACTGGCAAGGGTATAAAGTGTAGATTTTACAAGGTTGTGTTGTACGGAATAGATGGAGGACTGCGCCTCACTTGTTGGAAGAGTTAAGGGGTAGCGGAGCATGATGTATGTATTTCCAAGGATCGTTCTTGCCATTTTCTGGAAAATATATAAACGCGTTTATTGAAGTATCCGGCTCATAATCTTCAAGACTTAATTTTAGCTCTAAAATTTTCTCTCTAGATCTCTTCATCTTCTTCTTTTCTCTCTCTCATCTAGGTTAAGATACGGTTAATATTGTTCTTAGTTTAGATTTAGATTCATATTCTTGAAGCAGATTTTGTAGTTTGTATGTTGTATTCTTGTTGATTCGTATAATAAAATTGTTTTTCTTCAAATATTCTTAGTTTTAACAGAAACATGCACACATTGTTGCAAAAACACACATAGACACGGAGTACAAGGAAACGGGTGGGGTGGGAAATGGACATAGAGGCAAGGGGTGGTTACCAGACGGGAATGGGTTGGGGGTCACTAGAAATGGGAAGCGGTGGTTTTGAGGTCACGGTGAATCAAAGGGAAGGTGACAGTGGAGAGTTGGGAACGAAGGTGGCTCAGGGAGGCGGACTTGACGGAGATGGAAGGTGATAAGAGATGGGAGTTGAAGGAGATGAATGTCGACGGTGGTGGGAGGGCTGGGCGATTGGTTTATATGAAAAAAACTACAATTTTGGTCCTTAAGGTTTATAATAATATTAATTTCTTAAAGGAAAATAAAAAAAAAATTAGATAAACAGACTTAAAATCCTCTGGTTTAACGAACAATTTTAACAGAGTTACGACCCGGGACCCTTTTCAAAGCAAAAGGCAAAGCATGGGGACGATAATTGTACTATTGAAGTCTAGGGACGACCTTCGTAGTTAAGTGTGAACTATAGGAACTAAAATTGTAATTTGCTCATTTTTAAGAGTAAACTTCAATTTTGATCCATGAGGTTTAATGATTTCTTTGAGAGTGAGGCCTATACTTTAAGAAGTCAAGATGACGTCCCTTTGGTTTGGATTTTACTTTGAAAATGAGACGTGGTCACTAATGCCATTAAAAACGTCCGCTAGAGCGAGGGTGAAATCGTCCAACCATGTTTTCCCACTCTTTTTGTAATTCTTTTTTGTTTTTCTTTATTTTGTTAAAATACCATCAAATTGTAGGGACCAACTACGGAATTAACTCTATATATACTTGGGATCATGTGAGACCATGATATGAGAACGTGAGACCACCATTTTATACTTGAAACTTCATAGCAAAAGACCGTGAAAGTATTTTTCACATTGTTTTTGCTATGAAGGTTCAAATTATTTTTATCTTCACAGCATTTTGGTAGAAGGTTTAAGTGTAGAAATGTGGTCTTACGGGTCTCACAAAAAAAAGTTGGTCTCACTTGAACCCAACCCTATATATAATATAGACACACAAGTACCAAATCACAAGGACCACCAACGTAGCAAAAAAAACACAGGGACGAATCCCCCCCAATTCTGATCAACACACAAGCAACTCCGACGAAGGACCCAACTCCGACAAAGCCCCCAACTCCGATGATCTTTCCCTCTCCGCTCCTCTCTCCTTTTCTTTACTCTCCCGAACCATGACAAATCAATCAATTCCTATACCAACCGTACCAATTCAGTTGGTACTAATTCAATTGGTGCCAACCTAATTGGTTGGTTATATCGTACCAACTATCTAAACTTGATTGGTACGTGGAATTAGAAATCGTGTACCACGGTAATACCATACAATACTAACTTATTTTTTAAATAATTTATTAATAAAGTTTGGCATACTACAACATATTTTGATTTTAAATGTTCTTATTTTCAGTTTTGCTAAATTATGATATGGATGGATAGATAGAACTTGATTGAATTTATTCGCCCAACCCTAACAACCTTATTAACTCGTTTACAACTTCACGGTCCATTGTCGCTTCTCAATGGTCGTTTGTATTAGAATATTGAAAAATAGTTATATTACATGAAATTTTTTTGAATGCTTATATATGTAGTGATAAGTGGTACAACACATATCAACATGTTATTTGGATACTCGATGGTTTTAGTGCATCTAAATATAGTTTGTAAAGATGTTAATATAAATAAATTTGTAACTTCAACTTTTAGTAATGCATCTAAATATAGATTACAAAAATGGTGATATAAATAAATTTGTAACTTCATCTATTAGCTAGTTGGTACAAAACTGTATCAACTGAAAAAAGTTGGTACCAAATATAGTTAGTTGGTACATGGTATACAATTTTGCGTACTAATTATAATTGGAAAAAAAAACATGATACCATATCATGTTCACCCCTAATTTTTGCCAAAAGAAAATACACAAAGCAAATTAAAGCTGGATTGTGAGACTTTCTGAGACAATAAAAATAGAGATGACACAAGATTTGGTGACACAAAAACCCACATCCACCACGGACGATTGAACATATCGAAGACTATGGACGTCAATAATAGACGCCGTCCTTTATCGATGATGTGGCGACGTATGTTCATATGGAACAGCTAAATGTGAATCTCAACTAGGCTAATCTTGGAGCAATTAAGCAAATGAATCATTCAGAGCCCCTTTGAGTTGATTTCATCCTATTTTTTATATATGTGCTTGAGATGACTGTTTCATAACTCTATCTCGGTCAACGGTTATGATTCGTGTAATGTTCAGAGAATCCATTTTTATTAATCTATATTATATATATTATTTAATAAAAAATTCTTAAAAACCAATTTTTATGTATGAAGTATTGTTTATTGATGTATATTACTTATAATTCAATATTACAAGTAAATTGTGCGTAAATACAACTTACTAAAGTTTTATATTTAAATTCGTGTAACTAACTGTAGATAAACATAATCAAATAGAGGATAAACATCTAATTTTAAATATAAAAAATCTAAAATATAATTAGAATAATCATTGAATTCTAACAAAATATTTAATTATTATCTTTATAAAAAACATTATATTATTAAACCAAAAATAAGAAAATGAATTAAAGAACTATATAAAAAATGAGAAATTTTAAATAATTAGTTTAGTACTAATATCAACATTTTTTTTCAAATTTTTATGATATTTTCATATTTATATTTCATTCAATAATAAAAACATTATTGTTTTCTCAAAACCACATAAAACCGTATTATGAAATCGATTGAACAATACATAAAAGCAAGAAATGACACATAAGTATATAGCTTTGTTTCCAGTTTTACAACCCTTTATCTACAACATCTAATCTAAGAACTCTAATAGCAGTTTACCAAAATGGTATCATATGCAACAATTTACCCGTCAAGCGCTAATCATGGTAAGAGTCGTCGTCATCACTTACCAAACAAGACTCTTGGTCCTTGCTTTAGCACTTACCGAGTAAAATTTTTTGTCTTTGTCATGTTCATCTTGTAAGGTAATGTGACTTGATAAACACTTACTTCGATAATCATTTGGTAAACAGCCCCTAAGTTGCCTTCGGATCTTATGAGATATGCATGCAAATAGATTCATCAAGAGTGTTATATTTTATGTACTTGGCTCAATGAAGTTGGCAAATTATTCTTTACAAACTCATTTATTTCTAACCCAAAAATTTCCCATGCACATTATTGTTTCCAAAGATAAATATCAAATATTGTACAACAAACAAGTATATATACATACATATATATATATATATATATATATATATATATCCAAAGATAAATATCAAATATTGTACAACAAACAAGTATATATACATACATATACATATATATACATACATCTACATATATATACATATAGATATATTTGGCAATACATTGTACACTAGAAAAACAACTTCAACTACCTATATATGAGATGTGTATGTACCAAAGTGCAGAAAGGTTATACAAGTCCCTTTAGCCTCCAATCAATGGGGATCTGATTTCCTCTACTAGAAAAAGTAGAGAAACAACAACTAAAATGTATACATTTTCCTCTTTGAAAAGGGTATGGTATGGACACTTTTTCTTTTCTCTAATCTCTATTCATCTTCTATGAAAAGTTTGAGTATGAAATCACGAAATCGTTTAGAATATTGTCGTGGATCAACAGCTGATATTAGGGTAGGGTCGTAATGGATGGACTTGTACGCATGCTCGAGTTTCTTTGTGATGTCATAGTCTTGAAGTATGTCTATGATCCCAAAAAACATGACCACATCATAGCATTCCCCAGTTGGTTCGCCTAGCAGTTCCGTCTCTATCGCCCTCTCCATCCGTTCCACTCGTGCTGGCATGTTGATTCCCAGCCTCAGATTTGCCAACCTGCAGTTATACAAATGCAAACTCAATCCAAATTAATATGCCAAAAACATGGATCTTCCTTAATTTGTATTACAGAAGCAACTTCTTACCCAGTGGGATCAGAAAGAAGTTTGTCCATACGGGATCCAGAATTTGAGTTGTCCATGGTGACATGGTCTGCAAATTGGATTCAAAGATACATAATACTGAATCAATGTCGGTTTTATGTGCGATGATTACAGAAAACGATCGATGCAAATGCATGAATATTGTTCATATGTTATTGGAATTTGATAGATTATATAGAGATGGTAAGATGACAATGAAAAGAAGCAGAAGAGTCATAGACAAATTTGTTACTATGATTGTGATAGTAGGTGTTGCACGAGCTTTGCCATAGAAAATAAAGAATCTACACAACCCCTCTTAAAAACTAAAAAAAGCCCTACGGACACGAACGGGAAGGATGAACACGAGCTAATTCCTCTCAGCCCTTCCCGTGGGTTAATTTCTCAACGAATAAGTAATTCTAGGAATGAAATCCTTATATAATTCGAAAAGCAAAGCACAAATCCAAGGCAATACAATATGAAAAATCAGAAATTTTCATATTTCTAATATTAAACAAAAGGATTCGCAAATAAAAATGCTAATGCTACAACTAGGCCATAAATTGTCCTCTAGGGCTTGTCTCTGGTTTTGTCTTCATCCCGTCTTCAATTTGGGCAATCTTTTAAGGTCCGATTTGAGGCTCTCCATATCGGTTGTGGAAAATTGGAATGCTTCTTAGAAGATTGGAGGTTGGATTGGATCTTCAATAATGGAAGCTCGGGCTTTGCTTGGTTTCAACTAAAATCTAGCAAATGTGCGTTCTAATTGCTTTGAAAAGACTATATACATGTCAAAACGTCCTTAATGATTATTTAGATGAATTCCATTTGTTTTACAAATCCATGTTGGTTGGTTGTCATGGTTATACATTTGGTTTCATAAATCATTGAGATGCTTATTCTGATTTTACCAATTACTTTGAGACACATATTATAAGAGTTTACTCTTATGAGAATTTATTGCATCAAACGAGACTTTATTGGATATAATTATATTTTGGGTCATGAAATTGCACACACTTTTTGGTAAAAGCATTTGTGGACTTAATGTGACTTTTATTGAATTAATCAAACAAATTAAGTCGAAGAGATGTTGATTTGGATTTGAATCAAATGTTTGGTTTGGGATCTTGAGCAACTTATGATTTAGTATTTTGGGGTACTTGAGGCCTTTTTCGACTATAATTGCATAAATATTTAAGAAATGCATTCTAGTGAAATTGTAGGTCATTTGAAATACAAACCACGTGAGTTTGAAAGAAATGAGAGTTCATGGACCTAATCATATTTATGGGTCATGGTTTGCATAAATGTCTGGAAAAAGTGCCTTTTGGTTTATGCCGGTTTTCATGAGATAATCCCGTGAGTTGCGGATTTTGAGGAACTAAACCATGCTCAATGGATAAAAGTGTTCAATGTGGATGTTTGAATGTGAATTGCATTTATTGTAGATTTAACTTGTAGTTACATTAGTTTGGGTGTGTTTGATCATTTAAATTTGGAGTATTGTAATGCATTGGATCCATAGGTATAAGAGTATGCCATTGTGAAGTTAAGTGTGGAGTTTTGATGTCTTCACTTAATTCTAGAGAGTGTCACCAAGTCAATGTTTGGAGCTTGCATTGGTACTCGATTGAGTCGTCTGCAGAGCTTGTGTCTTGTAGTGGTACTCGGTAAAGTCGTGTACATAGACCATTGACTTTTGTGTTAAAACTCTTCTAGGGTGTGATTACGCACCAAGATCATTTTTGGGGCTTGCGGTTAAACTCGAAAGAATCATATACGGGGATCTATGATCGGAGGTGAAACTCGATAACATCGATAAGTAGCTTAGTTTTGTGTTCCCACCACCAATGACTTCGTGTAAAGTGGATTTATAAAACAAACTTGAACGAAAAAGGAGATGTTGAAAAACATAACGTTGATTAGTTGTAGATTACTATGAAGTGTTTTGCACTGTATATACATCTTGAAGCTATACGATTGTTTCAGTATTGGTGGCACAAAATGGATGCTACTATGAAATGGGTGTGAATAAACATTCTTAAATGGTGTATAAAAAAATAAGCGTATACTAATCAACATCTATGCTATATAAAAAAGGGGTGAAGAATATAAGGTATATGTTCGTTTGAAGAAGGCTTTATACGGGTTAAAAAAGCACCTCGGACTTGGTATAGTCTTCGATACTTACTTTTTGAATGATGGTTTCAAAAGGTTTCTATATGAGCATACTTTTCTATATCTTGTGTATAAATATATGTTTCTATATGAGCATACTTTTCTATATCTTGTGTATAAATATTTGTATCTAAGGGCCTGCTTGCTAGAAAAGTAACAAGCTTAATAGGACAAAGCTTATTTGGTGAGTTATACATGACTATGACTGTTGGTAATGGCTTAATGCTATATAAAATGGCTTATTCAGTAAGCTTTTAGGACGAAGCATTATGTAAAAAACAAGTGTTTTTCCAAACCTGCCTCTTCTAATTAAAAAAACACACTTCTTCCATCTATAAAAAACCCCTTCCAAACAAAAATCTTTCCAGTCTATACACATAGATTTATCCACACAAATGGTTTATTCATATAGCACTTTATGAAAAACCAACCAAACAGCCTCCAGAAACGCAATCCATAAAATCTTCCATTCCATGGTATTTGTCGTCTAAATTTTCCATCAAGAAAGTTTGTGTAGTGCAAGTCTCAAGACAACAAACATATATCATAGATCCTTGATCATTAAGCTCTCTCCCTCTCTCTCTCTCTCTCTCACACACTTTATATATATACACATATATACACTCTCTCTCTCTCTATATATATATATATATATGTATGTATGTATATGATATGAATATATGTATATGATATGAATATATGCATACAAGAGATTTAGAAGAAAGGGAAAAGAGTGATTACCAACAGGTGTCTGTGAGGCGGAGGGTATTAAGCTTGATGGTTCTCTGAAGTGAAGCCCAACCAAGAGGCTATAATCCATTATTCTTTCTTGTTCGAGGAAATCACAATCCCTATCGATTTGCCTGTACATTTAACCACAATTTACATGAATAAAATGTTTCCAAATAGTTCGGTTCTTTTAGAACACTCAACCGTCCTTCGGAGTGCTAATAGGGTACTTAACGAGACTATATATATATATATATATATATATATATATATATATATAGCTATACGACCAAAAACAAGTTACAGTAAGTTTAGGGCGAAGTTAGACTACTTAACAAGTTCTATCTACGAAGTTGGGTAACCCAATATTAATTAACCATTTTTATAATAGGCCACTTTTGAAGAGTGGTCTGTTAAGATGACATTTTTAAAAAACGTCATGTGAACAGACTAATATGATGATTTACTTTTTCACAACTAGCCCCAACTTCTTCGTAACAACTTAGGACAAATATTTTCGGTCTTATAAACTTAAAGCCTCATCAAGTATTCTATTAAGACGTGTGTTCGTCCTAAAAGCCCCATTTTATTCTAGTGTCTAAACCTTAATTTGTATATAGAGTGTAAACAGTGGTTCAACATATCATATATAGATTTACCGACTAAATTCTTCGATCCATGTCTTTTGGAGTCGGAAGAAGAACTTGAGATCAAGATCTTTAAGTATAGTGGTTGCCTCGATTTCTGACTCGGGCTTATCTGTAAGGCGACCAAGGGAAGATCCTTTCAAGTCGAAGCGTCTATGAATGATGTAATTTGAGCAGAAAAGATTCCCCATAATAATGAAGCGTACCTAAATCACCAACTCTACCTATGAAGGCTCACTATAAACAAGAAGAAAATTCGTTTCTCCTCAATTTTTCATGTCTTCTTCATGTTCCACCAATACACATCATTTATTTATTTATTTATTATCATATATTACTTTCACTACTAGAAAATAAGCTATCAGCAAGGGAACGCCCAAAAATCAGCCGTTATGCTGCTGAAAGTTCTCTCGTTGATCCGTCGCTGAAAGTTCCCTCGATGATTCATCGCTGAAAGTTCCCTTGCTGATCCGTCACTGAAAGTAACTCTCGCAAATCCGTTACTGATTTCCGTCGCTGATAGTATTACCTACGAGTTTTTGTCCGACGGATCAACGACGGAAGACCTTTTTAGCGACGGATTTGCGAGGGATTTTTCCTTCGCTGATACTCATATTTTTGTAATGATTATCAGGCAAGCTTGATGATGTGTTAGCATATGCATAGATATGCATATGCTTATGCTTTGGTGGAACAACATGAAATTTTGGGACACTGGATTTTTATTTGTAACAAAGTGATTAGTACATTTTGAATCATACCTTCCTTTGGGCAGGACCATTTAACCTCACACAATGTAGTCCATAAAACTTTGTTAATAAAGTGTTCTCGTAGAGCCGAAAATGATTGAAGTACGCCGAAAGCATCCTTAGAATGACCTAATTAAAAGTAATGATCGACATCTATTCATTAATCCATACAGTATAATTAATAAAAAGACGTCTAAAAAGTATAAACGTCCTAATAGACTACTTTATACAACTTAAGTTTATAGAACAAAACTATATAAAACGGATTATCTATAAGTATTACAATATGTTTATACGATACTTTTGGATGTTTTAGTACAGGTTAAAACGCCAAAAAACATCATATTAACCTATTGTAACACTTTTAGATATGACGTTTTTTGGTTTGTATCTATAAACTTTAAGTCCTATAAACCATTTTATTAAGACGTTTATACATTGGTGTTATAATTTGAACAACGATCTCACTTTGACTTCGGTCTTTTTGATGGTTTTGATCATGTAACGATCATCGTAAGTAAGATAAAAGAAGCTTCCACTCTTCCCTGGGGATGAGAGTTCTCGAAGCGCATCATTCCCACATATTGATAGCATATATTCAGCTGCATCTACCTTAAACAACATCCTTAATGTCCTACACAACATCAATCATATATATGTTTATGGGCTTTGTTTCAAAGATGTTGAATGATTTGATACAAAATTATCAATCATATATATATATATATATATGTATGTATGTGTGTGTGTGTGTGTTTATGGGGTTGTTTGAAAAATGTTGAATGATTTGATACAAAATTATCAAGGGTTCAGAATAATTAAGAGACTTTGTATGATTTATTATATATTGAAAAATAATTGTTTAGCAAGAGTTTTGAATGAACAATCTGAATGACACAAAATTACCATGTTTAACCATCTGTATGTTTTATTATCCAATTATATATGATTGTTAACAAAAACTAGATGATAAAATAGATTATGTGTTTGGCAAATTAAGCTGATAAGCTTGCTATTGGCTAAGAAGCTGGATGTTAATCGAGAATGAAACTAGATAGGTTTGATAAAAAAAAAAAAAAACTAGTTAATAAGCTAGATGATAATGTAAATTACCTAAAATGACTGAGTGACTACAACAAAATCAGCTTTATAGTACACTTATAGTGTTTAAGAGTCTATATAGAGTTTTATATAAAACTTAAATTTATAGAACCAAAGAACAATGTCGTATTTAAAAGTGTTAAAATAAGTTTATAGAATATTATTGGGCTTCATAACAAATCTTTTATGACATTTTTAAAATAGAGTGTCGCATTAGCTATTTATATACACTTGTGAAAACTGTCCTATAAAAACCCATATATCCTTTTACATAACACTTGTTTTTACATGACACTTTTTCAAATAGTATATCATAATATGACACTTTGTTTTAAAAATATTATAAAATACTTGTTACGACGTCCAAAAGCGTTCTATAAACATATTACAACACTTTTAGATGACACTTTACTTTTTGGGTCATTTATGTAAAATAAGAGCATAATATTGAATTTTAAAAAAAAAGCTGTCTCATGATGCATGGCTTATTGAAATGATACTTGAAGGATAGAATAAGTTATATAAATTAGCTTATATCTTATCAAACAAACCAACAAAGTTTTTCAATAAGCTAGTTGATAGTTTGAGGTTCTTCACTCATATATACCAAGCAATGCATTATGCATGTGTTAATTACCTGAAAACCAGTGGGCAGTAATCCTTCCATCTGAATTCACAAGATTGGTGGGGAGGGGTGTGTTTAGATCCCTCAGGTGGGAATCTTGTCCATACTTTCTCCTTCGGATTGAAAGCTGATGGCTTTAAGTCTAATGAGGGCATTGGGCCTGGTCTTCCAACTGAATGCCTGCACATGCAACATGCAACATACAACTACTGTAAGAATATATATATATATATATATATATATATACATACAACCTACTCCATCCTATTAAATAAGCTCTTTGAAAACAGAAGAAAAGGTTCTACTGTAGTCAACAAACTTCTATCTGAAACGCCATTTGAAGAGCTTTTCGAAGTTGGTCCAACGTGTTTGTATCGAAGCTAGTTCCTGTACTAAAAACTTGTAAAATGCTCGTAAACGTTATAACCTCGTTGCAACACTTTTAGACAAGATTTTTTTTTTGTTCTATAAAATTAAGTCCTAAAAGTATTCTATTAGAACGCTTACACATTTTAAATGTCCTGTAAACCTAATTTTGTTGTAGTGAGAAGACACTTTCTTCTCTGTTGTAGACATGGGTGCGTGAGTTAATTTGGCCTTTGAAAAAAACAAGCATGAAAGGCCGGAAACGAAAACTGAACATAAAGCTGAAAACTTGAAAGCATACCTGATCCCTAGCTGCAAATTGAGCATAAGTTCATAGTTCTTATGCCCTTTTGAGATGATATCTCCTTGTTTCTTCACCACTTTCGGGATCTGAATCGAACTTGCTTCAAATGGCGAATTACCAGGCGATGATAACACAGATGCATCATCACTTGCCTTCGAACTCCTTCTAGAATCATCCAACGTTCGCGTTTTATTCAACTTCTCATGATCCGATCTACAATCAACAGACATCCTTCGACTAGGTTTCGGTGTGGAATGATCACTACTCCCCTTTGATGATCTCCAGGCCACTAGTTTCTTATTTGAAGGCAAGATTGCAAACTTCTCCAATGGACAAATTCTACAATCTTTAAGATCAATTTCATAGAGTTGTTGTGGACACCATTCTAAATGTTCATCCACAGCATCAACAGAAGAACAATAAGTGACATTTAGTTCTGAAGGATCATTACTCCAATTACCAATATAAAAACTCCCATCTGCCCATTGGAATGCACCTTTCCCTTTTGGTATACCATCTTCCCAAATCCCTTCAAATATGTTCCCATTCTTCCAAACTAGCTTTCCATTCCCACACATGATTCCATTCCTCCATTCTCCAGAATAGCAATTCCCATCTTTCCATTGATACTTACCTTCTCCTTCTGGAAACCCTCTACACCATTCTCCATCATACACATCCCCATTTGTGTATTCTTTAACTCCATATCCATGTCTCAAGTTCATAACCCAAAACCCTTTATAAGTATCCCCATTTGGACCTGTGTATATGCCTTCACCATCCATGTATCCACTTTTGAATTCCCCTTGATAACTGGCTCCTGATGGCCAACTGAAGGTGCCTTTCCCCATGGTTTGCCCGCGATACCAATCGCCAACGTACATGCACCCATCCGTCCACCAATACTTACCGAAACCATGAGGGAAGTTTTCTAACCAGTATCCTGTGTAATAATCGCCATTCGAGATATAACGTTCGGCTTGATAGACCTCACCGGATGCATGAGCCTCATGGTCTTCTTCGACTTCTTCTTCAACATTAGCAACGTGGGCTGAACCGAAGATGTTGCTGGCTTGTCGTTTTGCGACAGCATGCGTTTTTCTTACCGTTGCTTCCCATGCCTTCATGATCACGTCTAGATGGAAAGATGATCATGAATTTATGTGTTTTTTCTTGAATTTTTTGGCTCTATATATATTTGGAACTTTATGAATCAAAACGTGATTGTATTAATCCTTGTTGAATTTGATTATTGTTTCCCTAGACCATGAAATTATATGTGCCTGGTCCCTTAAACCATCCACGATGATCAACATTCTGATGAGGAAGAGACTCGATGGATATGGGTTTCCGCCATTAAAACCACCTGCAAGTCGGAAATGGCCTCTCTCTCTCTCGATCTCTTTCTCTCTCCTTTTTTGTGTTTTCTTTCGTTCTTTTGGTTGTTCTCTCTCTTCCTTGGACCAATCCTTCCTATGTTTCTGCTAAGCAAATCAAACCTTAATTAAGGCAAATTCCTGTTTTTGTGTTGAATTTTGTGTGTATAATTACAAATGTTGGCTATTGCGGCTAGATTTTAGAAAAAAGAAAATAAGGAAATAATAAAAATGAGGAAGTGATCAAGAAATCTTGAATGATTTTGAGATGTTGACGGTACACGTGGAGGGATGAGCAGAAATGTCAATGATTGCATTTGTTTAATGCATGGACATCATTTGAATGAAACAATTAATTTGAGAATTAATACTTCTTGAATTGAATCAACTCTTTCTAGAAAGAAAACATCTTTTAGTTACAAACATCTCTATCTACTCTAAGGTGATTAAATATTTAATTGCATCTTATCGGGTGATTAAGAAACTCTTATCCCGTCAAAGATTATGGTCTTTACCAACAATCTCACGGCTGAAATTTTTAATTGCTCTTACCCCATTAGTAGCTTACCGGATAATATGGTATTTTGATGATCGAGATTCAAGGATCCCAGTAGCTATAGAGTGAGTCAAAAAACATMCTCTCAATTGATGTCTTTGGAGACGGATTCCGTGTTAGGGAGGTTGGAACCGTTGGTAATCAACTTTTTGCTTAAATATCAACTTCAACTCACAACTTGGTTTATCCTTGGATGTAAGTACACTACAAAAAAATGGGTTTATAGGACACTCCCAAATTCTAAATGTCCTAATAGACCTCTTGACAGGACTTAGTTTATATGACCAAAAAAATAAAGTGTTTTATCTAAAGGCGTTGTAATAAGTTTATATAACTTTTTTTTGTAATAAATTTTTAAGACACTTTTAATATAAAGCGTTCACCATTAGCAACTTTATAGAACACTATTTGAAAAATTGTCCTATAAAAACAAATGTCCTATAAAAAATTGAGTTTATAGCACACTTTCTCAAAAGTGTCATATAAAGTTGTTAATGCGACTTTTTGTATTAAAAATGTTCTCAAAAACTTATTAAGACGTCCAAAAGCGTCATATAAACTTATTACAATACCTTTAAATATGACGCTTTATATTTTGGTCCTATAAACTTTAAGTCCTGAAAAGCGGTCTATTAGGACGCTTAAAGATTGGAGGTATAAACCCAATTTTATTGGAGTGGTAATTGTTATTCAATATCATCAACATTCTCACTGTGTTCGGGGCCGTAACTTTTGGGTTATAAAGAAGAGGAATGAGTGGTCATGGCTCCTGAGGAGTCTTTTAGACTTAAGACCTCATTGCCGACGTTTCTTTATCTATGATGTGGGTAATGGCTTATCAACACATGCTTGGGAAGATACTTGGAGTGCATTGGGACCTCTTATCCATTCTTTGTCTTATAGATTTATCAATGGGCAGGGTTTCCACAATAATTCTACGGTTTATGATGTTATGCACAGGTTTGGTTCAAATTGGCCGGAGGATTGGATTCAACGTTATCCTCAACTGCAAAATGTCCTTATTCCTTCTTCCAATCAAGTGGAGGATAAAGTTCGATGGATTGATAATAAAGGTGTTCGGGGWGATTTTCAGGTAAAAGTGGCTTGGAAGACCATACAGGAGGTACATCCGGTTGTACATTGGACTAAAATGGTTTGGAACAAAGCTTTCATTCCAAAACATGCTCTTTGTGTGTGGATGGCTTGCCAGAAGAAATTGCCAACTCAGGATCGTATCAGTCAGTGGAAGCATGAACCACCGGATTTAAAGTGTGTGTTCTGTAAMTTAGTKATTGAAACRCACAATCACTTATTTTTTGAATGCTCTTATTCTAGCAGTATTTGGGAAGGCATTAAAAAGGAGGTGGGTTTAACATCTTATCCGAACAATTGGGAAGTTATTCTT